GCCCGCCTGCGCTCAGGAGTCGGCCCGGGGGACGCCGCGAAGGACCGCCTGGGAAGAAGGACTACGCCCCCCACAATGCACCGCGCCAGAAGCCGCTCACTTCCGGAGCGGGGGCGTGTTTATTCCGGCTGCTTTTCAAGGCAGCCCTAGTAGAACAGATTCTTCCCTTCACCTGGCTAGTCACTTGCGGCCTCAGAGTTGTACTCGGATGGAACGCTATCGCCTGCACTGCTCTTCACAAGGACTCAGAATCCTGATGGAGAAGGGAGGCGCGCCTCAGCGGTGCGCAAGCGCAATGGATGTATATCCATTGAGACTACAAGTCCCATGATGCCTCGGGATGCTGAACTTGGAGGCTGCGGCTGGGAGCGCCGCCTAAGGAAAAGGTGGGGTTACTGCAGACCGGGGATCCTTGGAAGTAGCGTTGCCTTGCCGCCCCAATGACTGGCGCCCGGAGTCGACGGCATTCCGGGGGGGGGGGAGGGGGTAGGAAATCTGGATTCCGCCCCTGCAGGAACTTCTGGAGCCCCTTTTTCTGCATTGGGGACCTTCTCCCGACTGGGCCGCCCACTGCTTTGATTCACTTAGTGACCTTAAATCACGTCACCAATAGGTGCTTACTGTATACCCAGCACAGTGCAGGGAGCGGCGGAGAGAGATGAGTCTGATTTTGGGTAATACTTGTGAGTGTTTGTGAATAGATGTTTAATCACAGAAACCCTTCAAAGGAACGAACAGGCCAATGAAGAAAATGAGGGGACGAGGTCCAGGAAGAAAGAAACGACGAAAAGCCTGGGTAGGGAGTAGCAACTGGTTCTTCTCAGAGCCAGCCAAGAGGGCCTTAGGCGGGAAAGAGCCAAGCCCTTAAAGGGCTGGGAAGAAGGCCACCAGGGTAGCAAAACTTGCAACTGGGAGACTGAAGGGGTTTAGATTCAAGGATTTGCATTATAAGGAGACACCTCCCCATCCTATGACTTCTTTGGAGTAAAACTTCTTAAAGGAACAGAAAGGTAGTGCAAAAGCAAGGAAAAGCCCTGGACCAAATAAATAATTATTATTTTTAAAATTATTTTATTTAGCTTTATTTATTCATTCATTCATTTTAATTTGACCAGAGATGGGTCCAGCAGTTGGTGTAATGGTTATGTCGCTGGATTCCCATGTAGTCAACCACGGTTGGAGTGAGTCAGGGACCCAGTGGCTTAAACTCACATCGGACACGTGCTCAGGTTCCCAAAGATCCTGAAAGGAGAAAGGAGGGGAAGGTTTGAGGTGTGGCCATTCCCTCTGGGCAGTGATTTCTTGCTTTCTGTCTCTCAGTCTCTCTGTGTTTTTCTGGTAAGCGCACGCCCCCTATAGCAAAAACATCTCAAAACAAACAAACAAACAAAACACCTAAAAAAAATATATGGTGAGGCAGGGAACATGATGGACTTCCACAAGGTTGACAGCTATTCCAGTCCCAGACCTAGCTGCTTGAAAATCACTCCAACTGCGTGTGGGCTCATACCCAAAAATCCTAGGAAGAAAATGGAGAAGGAATTACTGTGGGGCCCTCCTCCAGCAGACACATAACTAGAATGGATGGCTTTCTCCCCACCTCTGCTATCCTGCTTGCCCTTTATCTTGTTACCTCTAGAGAAAGGCAAGAACTTCATCGCATGTCTCCCTGCTTACAATCTTGCTTCCCCTACAATCTGTTCTTCATGTGGCTACCAAAGAAATCTGCTTAAATCCCTCCAGTGGCTTGTTATTCCATTTAGAATAATGTCCAGATTCTTTCCCAAAGCCTACAAAACCTCACATAGTGTAGGACTCTCTAACTCCTCTCTTTCTCACTTCATCCAAGAGTGTTTTTGTTTTTGTTTAGGTTTTTGCTATAGGACGTGTGCACTCTTAAGAGAGAGTCAGAGAGAGGGAAAGTGAGAAATCACCTCCCAAGGGAGATGGCCATGCCACAGTCCCTTCTCCTCCAATCTCCTCCTGGGATTTTGGTCATGCACGCACACACACCTGGTGTGATTTTCTTTCTTTCTTTTTATTTTTTTTTAAGAATTATTTAGGGTGGGAACCAGCAGTTAGTGTAAATGGCTATGTCGCTGGACTCCCACGTAGTCAACCGCGGTTTGTGTCCCGAACCCGGTGGCTTAAAACTCACGCTGGGTGCATGTGCGTGCATGCCCAGGATCCTGAGAGGAGAATGGAGGAGAGGGGATTGCGGCGTGACCATCCCCCCTAGGGGGTGATTTCTCACTTTCTGTCTCTCTGTCTCTCTCTGTCTGTCTGGTGAGCACACGCGCCCTATAGCGAAAACCTCTCAAAAAAAAAAAAAAAGAATTATTTAGGGGACCAGCAGGTGGCATGGTAGTTAAGGTGCTGGTCACTCCCACATGGCCTATCACTGTTCGAGTCCCAGACCTGGTGGCTTGTTTTCTCACTTTCTCTCTCTCTCTCTCTCTCTCATCCTTCTCTGGTCAAACTGAAATAAATGAATGAACAAATAAAATTGAATAAATAATTGCCAGTCAACTGTGACCTGACCCAAAGAGATGAAGAGCTAGGGACTAGTTAGGGGCATTTGGGACTGACTGGGCTAGGGCTGTAGTAAGGTACTGAGCTCCTGTGCCAGGACCCGATGAGCTGTAGTCAGGAGCATGAATCAGCACCAGAAATGGGGATAAGGCTGGCTCGGGCCAAGGGACCTGCTGACCAACCCCTGCCAGTCCTGTCCTGCCCGATAGCTGGCTGACACTGGGCTGCAGCCTGGGCCAGACCCTCAGTCTCCCTGGAGGGGCCAGCCCAGAGCACAGCAGGCTCTGGTGGCAGGCAGAGGGCCTGCCTGGAGGGCATAGTGGTGTAGGCAGGGGAGCAGCACATGCAGAAGGAAAGCGTAGAGTTGGGCGAGTGCAGGTGGTTTGCAGAGGAAGAACAGGTTCCAGATGGACAGTAAGAGAGAGGTCTGGGGGCCGGCAGGTGGCATGGTGGTTAAGGGTGCTGGACTCTCACATAGCCTACCACAGTATGAGGCTCAGACCTGGTGGCTTGCTTTCTCACTTTCTCTCTCTCACTCTGTCCCTCTCTGATCAATTGAGATTTTGATTTTTTTTGGAGAGGTTTTTGCTATAGGGCACATGAGCTTGCCAGAAAGACAGAGAGACAGAAAGTGAGAAATCTCCCCCCAGGGGGGACGGCAATGCTGCAACAATCTCTTTTCCTCCACTCTCCTCTCGGGATCGTGGGCACGCACGCACACACGCCCAGCGTGAGTTTAAGCCACCTAGTCTGGGACACAAACCATGGTTGACTACGTGGGAGTCCAGCGACATAGCCATTACGCTAACTGCTGGTCCCCCTGAAGTAAGTTTTATGCTTCCATATCCATGACTTGAACTGTGGTAGACTATGTGGGAGCCCATTGACATAACCATTACACATTTGGTCCCTAACTTAATTTTTTTAATAGGTTTTTGTCATAGGGCATGTGCACTCCAGAGTTAGAAAGAGACAGAGAAAGGAAAAGTGAGAAATCCCCCAGAGGGGGATGACCCACCATAATCCATTCTCCTCCATACTCTATGTGCCCAGCATGATTTTCCAGTCACCAGGCCTGGGACTCAAAGTGTATTGGACCCTGTGGGAGCCCAATGCTTTTACCACCATGCCACCTGCTGGCCCCCTGGCAGGTTTTTTGAGAGACAAAATTCATAGTGATGTTGCACATGTTGGAGACACAACACCTATGCTGGATCACAAACAGCTCGCTAGACTTGAAGCCTGGGATCTGGTCTCTTGGTAGATACAGACCTTAGCTAGAGTCATCTTTGCTGATGCATATCTGACTTGGTCACATATAGGATAAAATTTTTTTTCTTGGGGCTGGCAGGTGGCCTGGTAGTTAAGGGCACTGAACTCCCACATGGTCAACTGAGTCCTGGACCTGGCAGCTTGCTTTCTCTCTATATATAGATATAGATATAGATAGATATAGATATAGATAGATATAGATATGTATCTCACCCACGCGTGCATTCTGTCCATCTCTGGTCAAATAAAAATAAATAAATAAAGCTAAATAAAAAGAATTATTTTTTAAAAATTATTTTTCTTTGTGCAAATGTCCCTCCCTATCTTTGGAGAGGGAGACAGGTATGAGAGCTACTGTAATAATCCCACTGCTATTTATTTAGCCTCATTTACTATGTGTCAGATCCTGAGTTAAGTATTAAATTATTTTTTTAAATATTTTTTCTTTAACTTTATTTATTATTATTACTATTTTAATTTGACTAGAGAGAGAGGGAAACGTGAGAAAGCTAGTCGCTGGTGGGGATGCGAACCACAGTTGGCCATGTGGGAATCCAACACCCTCAACCACGCCACCTACCGGCGCCAGTATGAAATTATTGAATCAGTATCAGCTCCTTGTTAATTGGGTATCATCCTTAATTTACAAATCAGAAAACCAAAACTTGGTCTGGTCGCATACATTTCTCCAGGCTCAATCCCATGCAATAAGATCCCTATAAAGCAGTGGGTTTCCAGCCACTGCGGTACACGCCCCACGCGGCTGTAGGGCGAGAACTACAATTCCCGTGGGGCTGTGCGGCAGTATCGCGAGAGTTACCTTAAAGACGGCGGCGGGAAAAAGGCGTTTGTGGCAGCCCAGGCGTTTTGGAAGGTCTGCAGCAGGCGCGATGGCCGACATCAACAGCCCAGACAGCGAGCCTACAACGCGCACGCTACTGCGACGCGTGCTGGATACCGCGACCCCGCGGCGACCCCGGAGTGCAAGGTGAGAGGGAGCAGGGTCTGGACTGGATCCGGCGCCTATGGAGAGGGAAACTGAGTCTCGGAGAAGGGCAGAACCAAGGGCTCCGAGAACTGGCTCCACTTCCTCAGCCCCGGGCTCGGGTCAGCTGTTTGTGCCCCACCCCCCGGGCCCGGGCAGCCCGGCCGCGGGGCAGCGCTACCGGCCTGTGTCTGCGTCTTTGGGCGTCGGCTTCCCGAAGAACGAGTGCTCGGAATCTGATCCTCTGCTCTGTTCTGTAGGCTCCTTCCCCGCACACCATTTCAGGGCGTGTCCAGGCAAGGGTCGGGGCAGTGGGGAGCTCATGGTACTGAGAGTGCGAAAGTTTATATCTGCCAGGCCAGGACAGTTCCTTTAAGTAATACGAAGCCCTTCATTGTGGGATCGAGACCTACGGGTGATGAGACAGCTGCTGTGAACCTTTATGACTCTGGCATATGAGAACGTTTGGGCCGGAAAGACCGACTTGGGGTGACCCAAATACCGTTGCTATCAGAACCTGACAAGCACTTAAAAGTTTTAAAATACTGGGAACCAGCAGTTAGCGTAATGGCTATGTCGCTGGACTCCCACGTAGTCGACCGCGGTTCGCGTCCCAGACCTGGTGGCTTAAAACTCAACGCGAGGGGCGTGTGCGAGCGTGCCCAAGATCCCGAGAGGAGAATGGAGAAGGGATTGCGGTGTGACCATCCCCCCTGGGGGGTGATTTCTCACTTTCTGTCTCTATGTCTCTCTCTGTCTGTCTGGCGAGCGCACGTGTCCTATAGCGAAAAACCTCTCCAAAAAAAAAAGTTTTAAAATACTTAAGTACCCTTTCTGGATTGTTTTGTTGTAGTTTTTAGTTTGCCATATGGTGCATTCGATCCCCGAGAGGGGATTTGGGGCCAGTGTGTTTCTTAAGAAACCAATCTGGGAATGGAATCAATGAGCTATGTGCCCTCCAGCCCCTTTAAACCACCTCATCACCTGGCTGGCCTTGTATTATTATTTTTTCCTTCAAGAATTATTTATTTTCCTTTATATTTTATTATTTCATGTTGCTGAATTCCCATGTAGTCCACCGTGGTTCGACTCCTGGACCTGGTGGCTTAAACTCACGCTGGGTGTATGTGCATGTGTGCCTAAGATCCCAAGAGGAGAGTGGCGGTCCCTAGAGAAGTTTTTGCTACAGGGTGCGTGTGCTAGCCAGAAAGACAGAGAGAAAGTGAGAAATCACCCCTGAGGGGGACGGCCAACTGCAGTTTGAATTCTGGACCTGGCAGCTTGAAACTCACAGCAGTGAGAGTCCAGTGTCTGAACCACTATGCTACCTTCTGGTCCCTGGACTATTATTATTATTATTGTTAATTTAATTTTTTTTTTAGAGGTTTTTGCCATCGGATGTGTGCACTCACTGGAGAGAAGAGAGAGACAGAAACAGTGAGAGGGAAAGTGAGAAATCACCCCTCAGGGGGATAGCCACAATGCAGTCCCTTCTTTATTCTCTTCCTCGGATCTTAGGCACGACTGTACACGCACCCAGTGTGATTTTGAGGCCACCAGGTTTGGGATTTAAACTGGGGTCAGTCATGTGGGAGTCCAGCAAAATAACCACTATGCCCCTCTGCTGGCCCCTGGATTATTATATTTTTAAAAAATAAGTATTTATTCATTTCATTCCTTTTGTTGTTATTTTTAAATTTGATCAGAGAGAGAGAGAAAGGGAAAACAAGAAAGGTTCAGGACTAGAATCACGATCGGCCATGTGAGAATCCAGCACCTTTAACCACCATGCCACTTGCCGGCCCCTGGATTAATTATTTTTAATGTCTGGAATGGATACTCTTCTAACTGTTCCTCTTGTCTGTATGGTTAACTTCTGCTTGTCCTCTATAATTTTTTTTTGAATAATTATTTAATTTTATTTAGTCTTCTTTAATTTGACCAGAAAGAGAGAGAGAGAGCAAGTTGTCAGGTCTGGGACTCAAACCATGGTCAGCCATGTGAGAGTCCAGTACCTTAGCCACCATGTCACCTGCCAGTCCCTGTCTTATATAATTTGGCTGAAGTCACCTTTGTCACCTTCCTCAGCCCCTCTCTGACTGAGCTAATCATAGCCTCTCTTTCTTCTTATGTTTCAGAGCTTCCCTTCATCCATATCCCTTTTGACACAGGGCTGAGAACAGAGGGTATGGGAAACAAGTTGCTTCTGGGACCCTGGCCCCGAGAATAGAGGGCTTAGAACCCAAGCTCCCTGCTGAAGGCATGTCTGTATCCTCTAGCTCCCCTTCCCACATAATTCTCAGAGCTGTTGGTCTTTACACAGTGCCCGTAGAACCCTGTATGAAAAGGTGCCCTCCAGGAATCTGAGAAGCCAAACAAAGACACCTGTTCGACAGTGCACCCATGAAGCCAGGGTAAGTACACAACTTTCTGACACTACAGGGCCCTGGCTGAGCTTCAGAGGGCCCAGAGGTCTCCCTCTACTCTGGATCCCACCCTGAGGGAACCTCAAGACTAACTGCGTGGTATTTTTGCCAATAGCCTGTTGGCAAATTGGCCCGTGTTCAAGCCAGTGGGCACTTGGAGGAACAGACACCCCGAACTCTGCTAAAGAACATCCTCCTATCTGGTGAGTGTGAGCAACACCATTCTGTCCCATGGTATCCCTCATTCCGGGCAGCCTGCCCTGTCAGCCCCACCTTCTCCTTGGTGTATCTACAGCCCCTGAATCTGCCACCTTGATGCCAGAGTCCATGGTGAAGCCAGTGCCAGCACCGCAGGTGGTCCAGCCCTCTAGAAGGGAAAGCAGTCGGGGCAGGTGCATGGTGAACTCTCCTTGGTTTGGTCTATTGGGCAGCTCTGGTCAGGGAGCCTCCTGGGGCCTACAAAACCAGAATTGGGCTTCTTGGCCTGTCTGAGAGAAATTCTGTCCCTGTAGCCTGGAGCTGCGACTTCCTGAACTTGAGCCCTCCACAACCCTGGCTCCAGGTGTGCTGGCCCCTGGCAAGAGGAAACAGAGGCTGAGATTGTCGATGTTCCAGCAGGAAGTGGACCAGGGACTGCCTCCCTCCCAAGGTGAGGCCTTAGACACCACATGTTGCTACTGTCTCCCTGTCTCTAGGGAGGTCTGGGTAACACGGTTTCTTTTTACATCCTCTTGTTGATCACTGACAGAGCCTCCAGGGACTGCTGATGCCTCGTCCGTCACCAGGTACATGGGGGCTTGTAGAGTGGGGTCCCAACTGAGATGCAATCTGGCCGTTCTTCTCCCAGCCAGATCTATTCTCACAGCATGCTGGCTTCATTCTAAGACCTGAGAATCCTGGGGCAGGTGGCGGAATCCTTTGGGGAAACAGCCTCAGATACTAACTCTCCTGTGTGCCTCCTCCCTCCCACCAGCTCCCTCAACTTGACCTTTGCCACACCCCTTCAGCCACAGTCAGTACGGAGGCCTGGTTTGTCCCGCAGACCGCTCACCCGCCGAGCTGTAGACGTGGGTGCCTTTATGCAAGATCTGCACAATAGCTCCTTGGCCTTGGCTCCATCAGGTAAGGTTGTAAGTTCCCCCTTTTGGTCTCTGGGATCAGTGAGGTCAACCACAGTGAGGGAATCTGACCAGCAGGTCTATAAGGAGTTTCTGGTTTCTTTAATTATGTCTTTTTTTCTTTCAAAGAATTGTTTATTTGATTTATTATTATTATTTTAACTTGCTATAGTTATCAGAGAGAGAGAAAGGGAAAGTAAGAAGGCAAGCCACCAGGTCCTAGACTTGTACAACAGTTGACCATGTGGGAGTCAACTGCATAAAATGAGATTTTTATAATTTTGCTGTAGGATACATGAGAGAGAGAGAGACCAGGGTGAAGGGAATGAGAAAACACCCCCCATAGGGGGTGGCCACACCTCACTTTCTTCTCCTAGTTTTTCCTCAGAATTTGGGGCATGCATGGACAAAGGCTTAGGTGTTTTTCAGACCTCCAGGTCTGGGACTTGAACCACATTGTTAGCCTTGTAACAGCTAGCCACCTTAACTATCACACTGCAGCTGGCCTGAGGGGTTTCTACAAAGTGTTTCCTACCTTGGTGGGGCCCAGTCTTAGTTCCTCAGTATCCCTCAGGACCCCCATATCCTTGAGGAACTTCAGGGCTGAAGGTAGGAAAGTGTAGGGGGTGTGGGAGCTAGAACTTGTTAGAAAGTTGAAAGGAGCTAGGTTTCAGACTCAGGGACTCAGATTCTTTTTTTGTTGTTGTTGTTGTTTTTAATGATTTATTTAATTTTATTTATTCATTCATTTATTTTCATTTGACCAGAGAGAAAAAGGGAAAGCCACCAGTTCCGAGACTCAAACCCTGGTCAGCCATGTGGGAGTGTCCAGCGCTTTAACCACCACGCCACCTGCAACCCCAAGGGGCTCAGATTCTTTTTTCTTTTTCTTTTTTTTTTTTTAGAGGTTTTTCGCTATAGGGCATGTGCGCTCGCCAGACA